GAGGAGAGAGGAGCTAGACGGAGGAGACAGCGAGGGAGGAGAGAGGAGCTAGACGGAGGAGACAGCGAGGGAGGATAGAGGAGGCAGACGGAGGAGAGAGGAGGCAGACAGAGGAGACAGCGAGGGAGGAGAGAGGAGGCAGACGGATGAAACAGAGAGGGTAGTGAGGATAAAGAGACAGAGGGAGGAGACAGGGAGGGGACAGACAGAGGAGACAGCGAGGGTAGAGAGATAAAGAGACAGAGGGAGGAGACAGGGAGGAGAGATAAGGAGACAGAGAGAGAAGAAGGAGGGAATTGAGAGAAGGAGACAGACACAAGGAGATAGGAAGAGGACAGAGGGAGAAAAGGAGAGGTAAAGGAAGACAGAGAAGGAGGGACAAGAGGAGAGGCGAAGGAGAGGGAAAGGAGAAGCAGACAGAGAGGAGAGAGCTACCTCTCGGTGTTGAACTCTGCGCTCAGAGCCTCCAGCTCGCTGTCCCAGTGCTGCTCGAGTGCCTGCAGCCGCCCCCGCTGCAGCTGCAGCAGCCGGTCCACACACCGCAGCTGGGAGCGCAGGGCCTTGGCGGACTGCTCCTCTGCCTCGTTCAGGTCGCTCACCAGGGACTGCCGGGCACAGCGGCTTTCGTTAGCAGGCTCTGAGCTGACACTGCTGTCCACACAGATCCCCTCAGAGCTGTCACACTGGCCTCAGCTCGGATACTGCTGCAGATACCACCGACAGCAGGACCTTGCTCAAAGGTCTCATCCGAAAGATGGAGCACGAGGGGGTTCACACAGAGAGTCAGTAGCAGAGCAGACAGTCCCTCTCCATGACTCCCTGAGCTCCCAGTCGAAAGTACGACCTGACCCAATGCTAGTGGCTCTGAGCCCCGGGACAGCCCACCTTGATGACGCTGTCCTTGCGGTCCAGCACCCTCTCGAAGGTCTGGCTGAGCACAGCAATGTCCCGGCGCAGCTCCTCTGCCCGAGCCCGGCGCAGCACCGCCCGCCACTGGACCGTCAGCTTGGCCAGGTTCACTGCAGTGCTGCGCTCCTCCTTCTGCAGCTTGTCCTGGGGGCAGAGGGGACAGAGAAGGACAGGGATCAGCTGGGAGAGAGGGACAGAGAGACCGAGGAGAACAAGGACTGGGATCAGCTGGGAGAGGGGGACAGAGAGACCGAGGAGAACACGCACAGGGATCAGCTGGGAGAGGGGGACAGAGAGACCGAGGACAACAAGGACAGGGATCAGCTGGGATAGGGAGACAGAGAGACAGAGGACAACAAGGACTGGGATCAGCTGGGATAGGGGGACAGAGAGACTGAGGAGAACAACCACAGGGAATAGCTGGGATACGGGGACAGAGAGATTAAGAGAGACAAGGGGACTGTGCTCAGTGTTGTCCTCAGTGTTGTGCTCTGTGCTGTGCTCAGGGGGACTGTGCTCTGTGCTGTGCTCAGTGCTATAGTTACCTTGGGCTGTGCTCAGTGTTGTGCTCTGTGCTGTGCTCAGGGGGACTGTACTCTGTGCTGTAGTT